GAGCGCAGTGCTGCGCTCAATCTCGCTGCGCGGCAAATCGCTCAGTGTAATTTTTTTCTCTTACCCCGGTGTGCGTAGTGGTAATACCACTACGCACATCGCTATGAGCGGCGCACATCGTCGCAATTTTGAAAAAAAGAGAAACTTGATAGTTTTTTTTAAACGCATAGACATGTATATCTAGTGATAGTATAATAGAAAACAAAAAGAACAAGAACGTTTTTCAAAAAAGCACTACACCTTCACTTCTTTTTTTTTGAACTATCTTTTTTTTTTACCGTCACCGTCGCTTTCTTTTTTTTAACCGTGCTATCAATAAAACCCTGAAAAGCCTTCATGGGTTCTTCAAAGTCTCCACCTGGGACTATCCCTTCCTTCAACCAGGCCTGGGAACCCGCAAGCCGCTGCATGGTCTTATGGTGCATTCCTCCACGGAGCGGGGTACAAATGTTGCTTGGGGTCCCCTAATTGTATTTGGGTCCAATCTCTCCGAGATATTCAGACTCGGATCAGCGTTCGGTTCAAATATTTGAGGTCAATACCTGATTGTCAAGATCGAGATATTGGTCCATATAGAGATACAGCCTTTTGGCTGTATCTCAAGCCAATATCTCGATGTGCCCCTCCCCAGTCCATCTTCATCATTCATTTCGTTTGCCTATTATCATTACCCACACACCACACCCCTTGCCATTATTACCCTCTCAAACACATCTCCTCACTTGCTTGGTCAGCTATTCTTACAACTTCATACTATAACTTGTTCAATGTCTATTTTCTCTTTTTCTTCACTCGACTTCTTGCATGATGTCTTGTCCTCTTTCAACCCGGTCTTCCATCAAGACTATCATATCAACTTCACTTGCTCAAGTTGTTTGCTTGATCTAGTTTTCTGTCTATGTATTATTATTTTATCTCAATCTTCTTTTTATCAATTTTCTCTTTCCTCAGGATTCAATTTAGTTTTGTACTTGATCTATTTCTGCATTGAAAGAACTTGTTTGTTTGATTTTGATTTAAATGATTTCTTGTTTTGGGTGTGGTCATGAGGATCAAACAGTACCAAAACAGGGAAAGTACGGTGCTTGATTTGAATTGAGCGGATATGCTGTGATCATATCACAAGACATGTGTAGTTGTGAGGAACGAAAAAGGAGGATGAAGGTCAACAATGACCATTTTATCAGATTGTTCAACAAGAAAGTGTGTAGATACAATCTGATATTGCGTGGATATTGTGATTCCCGAACACCAAACTGATCATGACGAGGTCAACAGATGTCTGTTGACCTCTTTTGGATTGCTGTTTGGTGATCTCTATATGCAATATGACACAATCTCGATGTGCCCCTTGAGATAGGGGCAAATTGAAATTTTGTTTTCAGGTCAGATAAAATCTGAAAACGATCCAAAACGGCCCTTATCTCCCAACTAAACAGTTGGCTGAAGTTGATTGGAAAAGTTGGGATCATTGTCCAGTGGTGGTCTGATTGATTCATCAGGCTTTCATTTTTGTTTTATAATTTTATTATCACTGTGGCGGGTTTTTGTATAAATTTCACACCAGATTTATTATAACAATGGTTTAGGTAGAGTGTTATTGTGAGATT